AGTTGGCGGATTTGTAGATCTGAGACCACCGTTTACAATCAAAGATGTGCCGCCGATAGAGCTTGAAGCGGTAAAGGTTATTACTACTACTACTACTACTACTACTACTACTACTACTACTATTACTATCACTATTACTACTACTCCTACTCCGACTGCTACTGCTACTGCTACTGCTACTCCTGCTGCTACGGCTACTGCTACTGCTACTGCTACTGCTGCTGCTGGTGCTGGTGTTGGTGTTGGTGTTGGTGCTGTTGTTGTTGTTGTTGTTGTGTCACTGTGTGTCAGTGTCTGCATATGCCTCATGTCGTCCACACGGTTAATTTGTGTCTCCCGGTGCGCCTCCTGCGTTCGGGTATCGGTGGCGACGAACGCCTTGTTCGACGCAGGTTTCAACTGCTCGTTGTGCTCCGCCAGCGTCTTCGCCTTCGTCTTCTCCAACAGGGCCGACACGCTGACAGCTGGCGGTGGGCTGACGCTGAGGTCATCCCTGTTGAAAACCAGCGTCTGACGTGCCAGTTTGTAAGGCACCGCATGCCCGGGCGACGCTGACGCTGTGTCGGGCATCTTCACGATCTTGCCCTCTCTGACACAGGCGAGCATGCAATGCGGCGGAAGCTTCTTGTTGGCCTTGACGTCACAGACGATCATGATCTTGACCTTCCCGGCCGACGAAAAAAAGCCGACATTGAAGCTGGCATCGTTCAAGCGGAATGTGTTCTGGAGCACCGACCCTGGTGGCATCGACGGTGGCATCGACGACTGTGCCGACGCAGCCGTCGGCTTGCCTGGTGCCTCGGGTGGTTTCGGGCACTCCGCCTGCGGATTCGGCTTCGGGGCTTCCGGCGCGGGCACAGGAGTCGGAGCGGCCGACGCTGTGACAACGACAGGCGCTGGACCCTGTTTGTCCTGTCACAGTCACATCAGGAGATTTGAAGGGTTCAGGGTTTAACGGGTTGGCTGAAGCCAAGCTGCTAGCTGCGTAAGTCAATGCAACACTGTCCTCCACGTTCACCGACCCTGTGCCTGGGGACGCCGACTTGGACACAGGACTCTCCTGGAAGTAGTTCTCCAAAGTCCCTCTGAACTTCTTCACCGGGGTCGAGTCATGCATCGGTGTCGACTGGCCGAGTCCCCCTGTTGGGGGCATAGCGCCGAAAGAGATGCTTAGCGGCGACCCAGAAGCAATGCCAGCCCCATTTCGTGTCTGCACCTTCACCGACAACAGACCGTCCGTGAAGCCCACGTCCTAGGCTGCCAGCAATCAAAAGAATTTGTCTGACATGTAGATAAAAAAAGCAATATAAGTATAATCATCCCCTGCAGCCCCGACTCTGGGCTGACATGCAGACGGCAGTTCGGTGACTTGCCTTCAGCATTGTCATTGGAAGCAACAGGGCACAACACCGCAGTGAGGATACTCCGTGTGACTGTGACGCAGCCTGACATCCGGAGAATTACGGCGCGGAACCGTTTCAAAGAAGAGCCGAGTCACGCTGGACATCGTTGTAGGGTGCGAGGTACTGCGCCCAGCCAACGAGGACTGCAAAGAGTGTGATTTTCACATCGACGCCGTGCTCGAAGTTGTCGATTCTGACCACTCGGTCACCTTATAATAGTATTTGCTGCCAGTTCACGTTCAGCCGTCTGTCCTACAGACAGATCATACCGAACCCAACATCCAGCACAAAGTCCCTAATGTTGCTACCAAAGTCTCGCAGAGCGCCATGCCCGTCGCGAGCAAGGAACGCGTGCAACCTGTCCAGCGACGTGAAGAAGAGGGCTGACGCTGGGCCAATCACGTCTCCATCTCTGAAGGACCTGCTTGTTCCAGTCATATGATCTGTGTGTGTGTGTGTGTGTGTCTGTGTGTGTGTGTGTGCATGTGCTTGTGTCTTCGATTCGTGGGTTGGCCCCTCGATAAGGACCGCACTTCTTCGCGACCACAATACGGCCGCACGGCGAGGTTTCGATGCCGAGGGAGAACTCGACCAGCTGCGACTGCAGAAGGTTTCGGACCTTTTCTGCTAGGTTGGTCTGGTCCACATCGATGCCGCAGCGCCATGACCCCGACACCGGCACGTCCTTCGCGAAGATCATGGCCTCCTGTAAGTCCGTGGCTGTCAAACTAGACCAGTACTGCGTGTTACTTAGTATACTAAACGATGGCAAAACTCCAAAGCCCTAAACCAAGAACCCTGAACCCCTGAACCCTAGACCCTAAAAGAGGAAGGTACGACGACAGTGGCGGGTCCTCGGTGTCAGGGACGGTGACAGCAGTGAGAAAAGACACTGAGTCAGGGCTGACCCTTTTGCGGCTGACGACGGACCGCTGGGCCTCCGACAAACGCCTGTGTGTGCAAATCGACCGGCAGAGCTCCCTGCCGTGGCCGACCGAGTGCTCGTTCGGCCCCTCGACCAGGCAGAAGACTTCAAGGCCGACGGACTCACAGGCGACAGGCAACGCAGGATGGGATGTCCTCAGGTTTACTGTATCAAATAATATCGCGACACCGAGTGTTCATTCTCCTTGATGAAGTATTTATTTTGATGTCTGGATTTTCAGGAATTTGGAAAAATACAAAAAACTAAAACCTAAAGATGCGCCTCGACAGCAGAACGACCTTCCGGGTCGACTCAGAATGGCCGATCTCCTTGAGCATGCGCTCGTACCACACCACTGGCCTGGCGAAGCAATAAATGTCCTTGGCCTGCTCAAGGTCGACTTCAGACACCTCTGCCGCTGGGGCTTCCGTGATGTCCGCATCGGCAGGTGCCTCCGACACTTCAAGCTCGTCCTCTTGGCGTTCTTCCATGTCGTCACGGTTGATCTCGCTCGCAGGGTCGACATCTTTGTCTTTCAGTCCCTGCAGGGCACGGATGCATGAGCGCATGTTTAACATCAAAGCAAACATCACTGCGGACCTCGGGGTTTGCTGGTCGATGCTTGCACCGCGGGTCTGTGCAGCGCTGATTCGTCAGCTCGTACGGCTGACAACAGACCCTGTTTATCGAGACAGCAGCGGGGATCGACTCTGCGGAGAAGGCCTTGCCCTGACCCCTGACCACGTAGGTCGGGGGCAAGTTTGCCGACTGACCCCGACCGCTCTCCATATTGCACTGGACGACATAAGCCTGCATGCCCTGGTCCCTCAGCTTCGCCTTTGAGGGATTTACGTGTGGGCAACAAAATTCAAAAGGGCTAGGCAAAACTTCCCAAACAAAAGATTTGAAGCCCAAGTACGACAATTCCAATTTTCTGCTTCGGGCCTTCAAGATGTGCAAAAGCTCCAGCCTCGACCCTGCCGGAATGACAACCTTGACGTAGTCTTTGCCACATATTTTGACGACCGTTTCCACAAGGTAGACGAGGCCATCCGTCAGGATCTTCGGCTTCGAAGTCCGGGCGTCCAGACACAGGAGCACTTTCTCCCGCGGCATGAGGGAGCCCTCGATCTGACGCTGGAACTCGACCCTGTCCACGTTGTAGAAGATGTGCATCCTGGACAACTGACTCTCGGCGAGCTCCTCGGCCTTGGTCCACGCCGGGTCCTGGCGGGATGCACAGCAGTCAGTCAGTGCCATGCACAGACTCAGACAGACAGACCGACGGACGGACAGAGAGACACACCGACGCAGGTGGGACCCAGATGGACATTGATGGGCGCAAAGCCTTCCGTGCTTGATGGCTCGAGCACTTCATCCAGAGAGCCCAATACCCCCAGGAATCTACCTTAGATTTCAGGCGCCTTCATATTAAATATGATTTAAGGTATATTCCCCTCGTGTTGGGCTCTCTGAACCCAGAAAGCTGACCGCTCCAGCGCCGCTCCAGCGTGGCACTTAGCGCATCGTCCCGCTGTCATGCGCCGGCACCAGCGCGTTGGCCTCAAAGCGGTCACTTGCATTGGGCGGCACGAACCATCGCCCCACACCCGGCCAATGGTGTGAGAGGAGCCTTTGTGAAAGTGCCTGGCATCCTCGTCGGTAGGGCAACAATGATCAGATGTGAAAGAACGGAGTTCGCACTTGCAGGGTCATGCTGACAGACAGACAGACAGAAACACAGACAGGCAGACAGACAGACGCAGGCGGGACCCAGATGCACATTGACGGTCGCAAAGCCAAAGCCTTCCGTGCTTGATGGCTCGAGCACTTCAGCAGATGCCCGCTGAACCCAGAAATGACCGCTCCAGCAAGGCACGTTAGCGCATCGTCCCGCTGTCATGCGCCGGCACAAGCGCGTTGGCCTCAAAACGGTCACTTGCATTGGGCGGCACGAGCCATCGCCCCACACCCGGCCAATGGTGTGAGAGGAGCCTTGTTAAAGTGCCTGGCATCCTCTTCGGTAGGGCAACAGCAATGATCAAATGTGAACGACAATCAACGGACTTCGCAACACCTTGTCGTCAAATGGTTGTCCGGCATGCACTTGCAGGGTCATGCTGACAGACGGATAGACAGACAGACATAACGACAGACAGCCCAGATGCACATTGACGGGCGCAAAGCCAAAGCCTTCCGTGCTTGATGGCTCGAGCGTGGCACGTTAGCGCATCGTCCCGCTGTCATGCGCCGGCACAGGCGTGTTGGCCTCAAAGCGGTCACTTGCATTGGGCGGCACGAGCCATCGCCCCACACCCGGCCAATGGTGTGAGAGGAGCCTTTGTGAAAGTGCCTGGCATCCTCCTCGGTAGGGCAACAATGATCAGATGTGAAAGAACGGAGTTCGCACTTGCAGGGTCATGCTGACAGACAGACAGACAGAAACACAGACAGGCAGACAGACAGACAGACAGACGCAGGCGGGACCCAGATGCACATTGACGGTCGCAAAGCCAAAGCCTTCCGTGCTTGATGGCTCGAGCACTTCAGCAGATTCCCGCTGAACCCAGAAATGACCGCTCCAGCAAGGCACGTTAGCGCATCGTCCCGCTGTCATGCGCCGGCACAAGCGCGTTGGCCTCAAAACGGTCACTTGCCTTGGGCGGCACGAGCCATCGCCCCACACCCGGCCAATGGTGTGAGAGGAGCCTTGTTAAAGTGCCTGGCATCCTCTTCGGTAGGGCAACAGCAATGATCAAATGTGAACGACACTTCGTCACACCTTGTCGTCAAATGGTTGTCCGGCATGCACTTGCAGGGTCATGCTGACAGGCAGACAGAAACACAGACAGGCAGACAAACAGACGCAGGCGGGAGCCAGATGCACATTGACGGGCGCAAAGCCAAAGCCTCCCGTGCTTGAGCACTTCAGCAGATTCCCGCTGAACCCACAAAATGACCGCTCCAGCGTGGCACGTTAGCGCATCGTCCCGCTGTCATGCGCCGGCACCAGCGCATTGGCCTCAAAGCGGTCACTTGCATTGGGCGACACGAGCCATCGCCCCACACCTTGCCAATGGTGTGAGAGGAGCCTTGTTAAAGTGCCTGGCATCCTCTTCGGTAGGGCAACAATGATCAAATTTCGCACTTGAAGGGTCATGCCTCATGCTGACGGACAGGCACATGCACATGAGCACACTCATGAGCACACCCGGCCAATGGTGTGAGAGGAGCCTTTGTTACGTGTGGCATCCTCTTCGGTAGGGCAACAAATGAGAACAACGGACTTCAGCTTCACGCCCTTGAATAATAATTATTATTAATAACAAATGACGATTCAATTCAATGACGATGGCTGTCAATAGTGACAGGGTCCGGGAGAACCAGCCACTGCACACGTCCCGACATTAAGATCGGTCCTTCTCCTCCGACTGCAGATGCTCGACACCAGCCGCATCTGCATCCAAGTCCATGTGGCTGCCCTCGGCCCCGTCCTGGGTTTCAGCCTGGACCTTGGTGCCGCCTGCGTCCACCGACGCTGACGAAGCAGACTCTGACGGCAATGCCACCACTTCGGAGGCTTTGACCAGAGCCGACAGCTGCTGGTGCACGTTCCTTTACTAAGGAATAGACGAATATATGTAGATATACTATGATACATTCAATGCATAGTAACAGTAATCCCAAATCTTCTCAGTAGTGTTTACAGCTTGCTGTACTACTACTAATGGATTTCTGCTTTGTCTTCCTGGTCCTTAGGCTAAGTGTCTGAATAACTTTCGACTTTCGATCGAAAACATGATGTTTGTCAGACCAAGCAGCTTGCACTGGCTGACGCCTGATTCCGGGATGTCAGGCGACCCTGTCAAAGGGATCCGGTTCTTGATGCAATACAGGATCTTCTGGCGGCCGTTTTCCGACTGCAGAAAGTCTTTGACCCTGGCAAGCATCCCTTTCGCGCCAGCCGAGGTGTCCAGGACCTTCTGGTAGTGCTTCTGCGTCGTCTGCATAAAGTCCTGTGCCTTCCGCCGGTGCTTCCAGCTTGCTTTAAACTTTAAAAATATCCAACCGTATTACTTCACAGTCACAAGACAGAGCACGGGCTTTAGGAAATAACTGATATGACACATGAGCCTGCCTTCTTCATGGGCTGACACAGTTCGTTCATGAACAGTGCCTTGTTCATCGGCGCTTTAGCGTCCTGCAAGGCGTGCAGCCGACCCAAGCAGGCAACGGCGAACTCTGTCGACAACTTGAACGACGCTTCTGCACCCTGGCCGGTGAAGTACTTGTTTTCCATGACCTGGTTGCGGAGGAAAAAACTTGCCCATGTGGTTCAAGTCTTTCGGAAGTTAAGCTAGTAACTTATAAACAATTATTAAACAACAATACAAGACGCAGACAAAATGTTTTTCCGGTGCAGCTACAGGGCCAGGGAGAAGCCGAGGCCCCGACGCTCGTACAGCTTTTCGATCGTGAGTTTGTCCAGCGATCTTGCCAAAGCCACCCAACGATAGATCGTCGAGCGCCGACCCTGACCGAAAGCTGCGAGCATGTCCTGACGGCTGGCTTCCCAAGTTCCTCAGACTGCTGACAGATTCAAATTGAAGCGGTTCCGAGCCCTGGAACTAGGACGACTATTAACGTTAATTCAAAAGTTTATAATAACTAACTACTAGTATTATTATCACCACCACCACCACGAATACTACTTACTACTACTACTACTACCACCACTACCACTACCACTACCACTACCACTACCACTACCACTACCACTACCACTACCACTGGTATACTACTGCTACTACGACTCATAAATCATAACACTTAAATTAGCTGCAAGGTGAAAATGTGCATTTGCAATCCCGCTGCCGCCGACGCAGCGCGACTTGAAGCTCTCGCAAGTTTCGACAACAGACTTTATGTCTGACTTCCGAAACTGGTTGCTCGACTCGTCGTGGCAAAGGCACTGCCAGCAGATCTGCAATGGCCGGTCCATCCAATCAGCATATTCGACCTGCTGACACTCCAGCCCGTTGTCCAAGATGTCAATGACGGCAGGGTCCGACATCCAGGCTGGATCTGACTCCGCCGACTCGGACCCCGACACTGACGCCGACGAGAGCTTCTTCTCACGCAGAGCCTTCCGCATACCTAAGTCTTAAGTCCGTCACCCGATTCTTAAATAGCAACAGCACCCTATCATTGGTCTTTCTCGCTGGGCCTGGGACACCATATAAAGCCTGGCTGCCTTTGACCTGGACAAAGGCTGCGACGCACTGCTTGCCGTTGTCGATCAAGCGTCGTGAGTCTTCGGCAGAGAGGTCACTTGGTCCCAGGACCGTGACGCCGGCGAAGATACTCTGACCCCACTGACCGCTGGTGATGCTCTCGACCAAAGTTGCGACGAAGGTCTCATCGATGCTTCTCCTGGGCTTCAAAAGCAATTATGAAAAGGCAGCTCTATATTGTGTTCTAATCTAATTATATTAAGGACCATGAAGAAAACTTCAATCTTTCCCTAGGTGCCACCTAAGTCTCCATCCACTGTCGCGTGCGAGGGAGAGATCCTCCAAGGGGATCTTCTGCAAGGCCTTCTTGGTCGGTGCCGTGAGTTTCCTTCCATTGCTGGCCATCGCGACACTGTGGACACTGACACCGACACCTGGACACTGGGCAGGCGGCAGAACTAAGAGGAGCTGGTGACTACTGGTGGCTGACTGCCGACTTGAGCCAAAGTAAAGTAAGCCACGTGTGCAGCGTTTCAGACAGGCATGGTCCTGCTTCAGGATGAGACAGGCTATCTCCAAACCCAAGTTTTTCTGTCGAGCTTCCGACCGAGGGTCGACGGCAGGGGTCAGCAAGCCCGCATCGACGCCAGGCAAGTAGCCATCACACTGCCGACATTGGCAACGTGCATGGCATTGCCAAGCAAAGGGATGGTCAGCTGCCGACCCTGAAAAAAAAGATCCTGCTCTACACCCAGGGCTGCCGCAAGCTCAGGTCGGGTTGGAAAACCAAAGCAGGCGCCGACCTCCGACGACAGCAGGAACCTGAGGCCAGTGGTTCGTCTGATGTCGGGATAAAGGTTGATACTCTCCCTACACGACTACCATCGTTGCCGAGAGACCGCTTCCTGGACGGAGACCACAGCTTCGCACCGGCATGTCGAGTCGTCGGCAAAGCGCCACTGGCAAGAGTCCAGCCGGCCCGTTTAAGGGGGTTTTGTGATAAGTCGAAGAAGACACGATCTTGGTCAGCATCTCCTGCAATGCTGCAAACTCGCTCGATTCCCGCAAACAGTTCGTCACTCAGGTCACCGCTCCTTTCTTGCTCTGACGCAGGGCAGTGAAGTCAGCAAGACGTTTCTGCTCGCTTTCCAACAACCTTAGTTCCCGATATTCGGAGCTGTGTGTCTCAAGCAATAATAACGGCTTAGCGATGTTATTGTTGGAATGAAAATTAGAAATGAAAGAGACTGGCTCATGGTGCTAAGGAACAGATACGTCCAATCTGACGCCGACGAAGCTGACGCCGACGAAGCTGATGCCGACGCAGCTGAGGCCGACGCAGCTGACACCGGCTCGAGGCCTCGACGCCGACGCAGGTCGTTCTCTGCTGCCAGGCACTCCTCTGCAGAGGCGATAAGCGCGGCTGCGGCGTTCGAGGTGCCGATTCTGGATCGGAAGTAGGCCTTCACCTTGTCATAAGTTTCGCGAAGATCTGCAGCCAGTTTAACATGGCCCTTCCGAAGCAAGAGAATATACAGACGAGGCCGCGCTATCATTGAGAAGCCGACGTCTGACGGGCTGACATACAGCAAATGGATGCTGTAGACGTCCGACAGCAGCTCCTTGCACACGCAAGTCTTCAGTTCAAGAGCTTCCGAAATCCTGCACCCACCCTCTGGTCCGACATATGTTGGACAAGGGAACTGTCACCTGACACGGGCCTCCATCAAGTCGACGTCAAACTCCGGGACGTTCTCATGCAACGCCCATTGGACTGGACACTGACCTCACGTCTCAGAGGACAGCATCAACATAGCTCCTTTTATTTATTCAGTTATTAATTCAACCAAGCTCTGCAGGACAAACTGGCATGTTGAAGACAATTCTGAGATGCGGCCCCGTCACGCATCTTGTGACACCAGACAAGAAAACCTACCAGGCGAGGGTCATTCCGACGCCGACGCTGACCAGCCCTGCTGAAGGGCTGGCAGGGTGACCCCGACACATCTGCATCCGCACCCCAGGCTTTGCATAGATGTCCATGTTTGCAGCAATGCTGATGATGCAGACACTGACCCGCAAGGGATGTCCAGATGTGCTGAAGGTTTCCTTGGCTCATCGGTGGCACGTCATTGACACAGTCCGCGATGTCGCCGCCGAAGACACAAGCATCTGTGTCCGCCAGCCTAGCCTTCAAAGCATTGACACAGGAACGGGTCTTATCCAAGACAAAGGCAGTCTTCCACGACGCTGACGCTGCCATCCATTCAGGGAGGTTGGCGTGCAGGATGTGCAGAGCCACTTCCACTGTGCCCAGACCAGAAAAGTGGCTGGACACTGACATGCTTTTGGACAGCAGACTGCCTCCGCAAACGGCTTCTGTGATTTCAAAACACATTTGTTCGTAGTGTGGTCTCTGTCCGAGGAAACCAGCTATAAGAACGAACACTTGTCTTCCAAGGCACTTGCCAACCCATCTGGTCCAAATATCTGAGACAGACATGCAAGTAGCATCTGGGGCCATCGGAATGCGGACTCCATCGCCGACATTTGAGGAGCAGCCCTCAGAGCAACACGCCGACCCTGCTGATGCTCATCCGACAGCCCACGTTTGCGTGGCTCATCCGACGCTGAGGGAGGAGGGAGCTGAGTGTCCTTGTGGCTGTTTATTTCGACGGAGCCAGAGCCCCAATAATAAGCAAAGGCTCCAGAAAAATGTCATTGTATACTGCTTTTGTCGAAACCAAGCCACGCTATCCTCCACTAGGTCCAGGACGTCTGAAGCTGACTCCTCATTCTCATGCATAATAATAAACGCACAAGTAGACTAACGTTACTTTTGTCGAAACCAAGCCTCGTCATCCTCCGCTAGGTCCAGGACGTCTGAAGCTGACTCCTCATTCTCATGCATAATAATAAACGCACAAGTAGACTAACGTTACAGTTAAGTGTTTATATAATAATAAAATATAAGCCTGCCTGAATGGATCAAACGGATTTCAGCATCAGCGTCCTCGTCGAAGCAGAGTCCGGGTGAAGCGTCGTCCATATCAGCGTCTTAGGCCGACAGCTGGCACCTTGGATTGATATGGTATACATACACATACCTACATAGTATGAAAATGTATCCATGTATGTATATCATGCAAACCCGCATGTGAATATCATATCAGAGGTCGGTAAATACGTTGTAAATAATATTACGTTATCGTGCATAGTAATTGCGCAAAAGCTCGCGGATCTCCCTCTCTCTCTGCTCTTCTGTCTGTCTGAGACTGATCTTTTTCAAGAACATCGCCGTGAACGACTTGTCACTCTGCTGGGCTGTCCCTGAACTTGACTTTCTGTTCAAGGGATAACGCCGGTGAAACATCAACACGTGTGCAGCGGGCTGACGGCTGGCGCGTCTGACGGCTGCGTGTCTGACCGACTCAGAAGGCGTGAGATCTAGCGGGCACCTTTCGCTTTTGTTTTCGCGCTTCTGGCTTTGGCCGACACAGCCTTAGCCTGAGTCGATTTTTTCAGCACAAATGCGAAGTTATCGTTTGCTGTTCAGACTAGATGACGGAAGAACAAGAAAACCATGCCGACAATCCGCCGCAGTGTCAGACCCAGAAGCAGCGGCAGTGGCTGCCGTGGCCGACACAGCCTTAGCCTCAGTCGTTGAATTTTCAGCACAAAATGCCAAGTTATCGTTTGCTGTTCAGTATAGCCCAGACTGGATGACGGAAGAAGAAGAAAACCATGCCGACAATCCGGCGCAGTGTCAGACCCAGACGCAGCGGCATTGGCTGCTGTGGCCGGGAGCGACCAGCTGGCCGTGGACCAAGTCTCTGACCGCTGATTCTTCCACTCCTTGCCTTCAGCAGAATCTAGCCACTGCCTCAAGCGATCCGTCTCCATGGCCGTCCCTCTTTTCCTGTCGACCGACCCAGTCAAAGGCAAGGGATCCAGGACGCCCTTGGTCGCAAGCTGACCCTGAAGCTGCTCCATGAGCTTGCCCACGCTTGCCGGCAGCTCCGCCTGCTTCGATTCGGCCTTAAGTCGTCGGATCATGGTCCGATTCGTGACCCCGACAGCCGACCCCATGTCCACGGGACGCAGGAGCTCGAAGATGTCGTCTTCGTCGTAGCCGGCCGTGGCATCCAGCCCCATTGACACTGAGTGCGACGCCGACGCCGACTCATCCAACTGACGAACTCGACAAAGACGCCCAGTGGCCCAACGCTTTCGTTGACGGGTCTTGTCCTCAGCTTCGACTTGACGAGTACACGGGAAACATCATTCCCTGCCCAGTCTGTGTTGCCAGCAAGAAAAATCTGCTGAAAATGGACATCAGCTCCATGATGGCAGACACCTCCTTCACGATCAGCTCGTCCCGCGGATTGCCTAAGGCACTCACGCGGGCGGCCGACAGCAAGAGCTTGTCGACATAGACCCTGGGCGACATGTGCTCCCGTGGATTCCAGTGCAAATGAGCGATGGAGCCCAGTCTTTCAACGATGGAGGAGGCTGGATTCAGCATCCGATACCTGTGGTGAACGCGACCCGCATGCCATGACGACGCCGATGACGACGGCTGTTCTCCCAGGTGGAAGAACTTGTGCATGTCGACACTGGCGCTGACAGCTGCAGAATTCACTGCGAACTCCTGAGCCCCACAAGTTGTATGTGGCATTATAATAGCTAATCAGAACCATGATAGTTACTTACTTTTAGTCTTATTATCATTATAGGTGAGCCCAGACTCCATTCTCTCGACGACGACAATCTTGCCACAGTTGGATCCTGCACAGACGGTCGCGACGCTGCCGACCGCCATGAGCTGCTGATCGAGGACTTCACGCTTGCGCTTCCTTCGCACGGCCCCGACAGGACCCAAACCTTGGGCACAGGCTCTGACACCACGAATCCTTGAAGCTGACATGGAAATACACCACTGAGCACACGGCGGTCTGGCGACAGCTGGAAGACCTCGTAAGCTGAAGTCGGCAACGTCGAGGAAGGCACTGATCCACAGAAAAGAGAGATGGTCCAAACAATCTTCTTCACTGACACGACGCTGACGAACTGATTCGAGAGCTTCTTCCCGACAGACACCTCGATGCTGTCCAGCACAAAAAGCGGCCTGACGCTGACGCTCTGCAGAACAAACCACTCTTCCACAGCAGCCTGCACAACCTCCTCTGGAGCCGTCTTCACGTTGCTGCCGGTGGGGTCAAAGGTTGCGCCCCAGCCCCGACGCCGGAATGCTAGCGAAGCCACGCATCGAACTCTCTCAGCGAGCAAGCCATATTGAAACAGCAGAGCCGCTTCCGGCAGGTCCCATGTCCTCTTGACTTGGGCGTAGTCAGACGCTGACATTGCTGGCCAGAGCGAATGCTGCAAGAAGGGCTTCAACAGGCCCACCACGTTTCGCCAGGCGTCCGCATGATGCCTGAGAGGACGCTGGAAACAAAGGAAGCCCCAATCAAAGCATTCATCGCAGGAGTCCAGGACTTGGAGCATGTCGGCATTGTAGGCTTTGTTTGCCAGGCCTTCAGTGAGCTCCTTGACGGCGTCGCTGACAAACCGACGCATTGACTCCAAGCCCTCCAGGATGTGGCGATGAGACTCATAGACACCCAATGGAACCTTGCATCTGGATGTCCATGTGCAAGGGCAAGCGCCTTTGCGGCGCCACAGCAGCAAGCCATCTTCGGCAGTATGCCGGCAAGAAGTGGTCTCGCGATCACGAATATGGACCCTGAAAATGTTGGCAGCACCTCGTTGTTGGCTTGCCTCCTCGTGCGAAAAAACCTGGTATCGGGGCATGCAGTATGGCCAGCTGGAATCCAATGTTGCATTCGTCCAAAGGGGCACCTGCAGTCTCACCTCAGATGACCACCCATGAAGCAAACCAACTTAAATTGAAATTTAAGGGCAAAAGTTATCCACGATGCGAGAAATAATGCCCCTTACAAGCAATAAGCAACATCATCCTTACAGCTGAGGCCGGCCAAGGTGACTGACTGCTGTGTTGGCCGACGTTGTCCTCCGCCGACAGCAGCACCGACACGCGAAGACAAACGCAAAGGCATCCTGTTGGACCTTGCAGCTTCTGCCCCACGCCCTCGCATGTATTTAGCTCTCAAGCCACATTGACAGTGCGGGCCCAAAACAATGTTCCTTGGATGGCTTTCGTATGGCCGGGCAAGACCACAGCCTCCAAAGCTCGGGCTGTTGTCGAAGATCAAGGGCATCAGCCGTGCCAGCATCAGGTGCCACGGACGCAAAGCCGGCCAAGTGAACATCGCCTTGGCATAGCTCGACAAATCCGACACGCCGACGTGCTGACGCAGCAAGCAGAGGACGGTGAGAAACACCGACAAGAATTCCAGGGCGACACCGAACGACTGCAGTTTTTTCAGCATGTCCTGGCCCGAAGTTCTCGCAGCTCGAGGCTCTGTCAGCTTCTGAGAGATGAGGACGTAAGGCGACACTGCTTCCTCCATCACAATTTCGAAAGGCATCAGAAAGGATACCTCGTGCAGCTATTGTATTAGTGCGCAAGGAAATCAACATAGATTGGCTTCCTGCCAATAACTTTTATAGTTAGCTGAACTTACTTGTTTCTCGCACGTCACAGTGGATCGCTGACTGAAGCAGCCGGGAAACGAAGCTGATGTCTGTCACTCTTCGGCTGACAGACAACAGACGGTCCAAAGTGGCTGAGCCCTTGCCTTCGTGTCTCCAGAAGATCCGGGCGTGCAAGCAAAGTACTATGAGCTTGAAGTTCCTGACGAGACTGAGACGCAGGTACACCATCTTTCGGGTCCCACTCAAGGTCGGAAGCTTCACGAAGCGAAGGCCGACCCTGTTGGCAACGCTCTCGAAAAGGACCTTGCCTTCGCCGATGCCGAACAGGGAGTCAAGCTCGCCGACGATCTTTAAAACCTCCGACGCTGACGGGCTGGAACGAACCGCCCTGGACAAGCAAGTATCCGCAACATGGAACCTGTCCCACGCCGTCGCCTCCCACTCCAAAAACAGACCGCTGGCGCCGTCCTCGTGGATGCTTTGCCATATGCGCTCTCCGACGCCGGAGGATCCATGGACAGCCGCCGAGCCACCTCGGACGATCTGTCCATCTCCTCCGACGCAGGCACAACGACTCCGGAGCGAATCCAGACCCAAAGCAGCAGGGTGCGAGTCCAGGATCTTCTGGATGAGCGACTGCAGAGGCTCGTAGTTGTGCCCACCAAACGGAAGTATCTCTGCTCCAACCATTGGGCCCACAAGCTTGCCTGTCGACGCAGAGCATAAACACAAGGCGACAACAGCCAGACTGTACTGACGGCTGAAAGAACCTGAATCCATGTTGACAGGGTCGATCAGGAGCGCATAGTCGCTAGGGATGCCCAAACCCTTCAAGGGCTCCGACCACTGAAGAGCATCCATCTCCTGAAGGACCCTGGCCGACCAGTAGATCGCCTCGTC